GCCGAGCGCCGAGCGCGGCGTGGGCGGCTCCCCGCCTCTCCCCCGCAGTGCGGGCGGGCCCGGCACACAGCGAATGCAGATGGCGCAGACCAAGTGGTCAGGAGCCGAGGGGGGAGTGGACGAGAGGAGAGGCGAAGAGTAGCAGAACTGCGAGTTCCCGGGCAAAGGAGCAAGGGCCTAGTCAAGCTGTGTGGCTCGGGGAGCATTTGTCGCCTTTCGGCCCGGACCAGTGGCGTAGAGGCACCCAGTGGAGGAAAGGGAATGCCCTCCTTCCGGAGCCCAGGAGAAGGTCGGGGCAGCGGTGGTCAACGGTGTGTGGGAGCAGAGGGCAGGGTGGGGAAGAATGCGACTGTCAGTGTCCGTCTCTCTCTCCCAGGATCTCCTTACCCACTCATCCCTCTTTACTGACTTCACTGACAGCCTCTGTACTCATCTCAGTGACCTCCCTTCTTTGCATTCGGCCCCCATCCCTCGGACCCCCTCTCCCACCCCAGGCAGCCTCTGAAGCTTGGGGCGCCGGGGAACCCCCAGGGATCAGACGCTACAGACACTGGCTAGAGCGTGGAAAGACGAGGGAGACCGTGACTTGCACAAAGTCACACGGACCCGGCCTAAAACCAAGGGTCAGGACTGGCTGGAGGGAGCTCTTGTCACTGGCCAGACTGTTTGTCCTTGCACGAACTCCTAGAATCGGTTGAGGACTATATGAGATAGTTACCCAAAGTCACTTTATAGAGGGCCTGACAAAATTAGCACTCAGTCCATGTTCGCATTCTTTCTGGACTCAGCTCCAGAGGGCTGGCCCTGGGTCGTTATTTACCCTTCTAGATTCCAAGGGGGGCTGCAAGAGCAGGGTCTGACAGTTCCCAGGGCTCTCTGCTGCGTGAATACCAGTCTCTGGGCTGATATTCTCTAGGCAATGATAACTTTTTCACTCAACACTGAGTTCCTACTCCGCATTATTCGTTATTTCATTTATTCAGAAAATAGTTTTGTTTATTGTCTGCCTCCTTCACTGGTCCATGAGGACAGCAATCTTGTTTCAGCAACTGCTCTAGCTGCAGTTTCTACGACAGAGCTTGGCATAATAGTAGGCACCGGATTCTTCTTTCTTATGTGAAAGAATCATAGGAAACCCAGGAAGAGGAGGAGCAAAGTTGGGAAATGTGGGTAGGTCTGGAGCCCAAGAAAGCGAGTTTGAGAGAATTCATAGTAGTGAGTGTGAATTAAGTAGGATGCTGGCATCTCCAAGCAGCAGGCACCTGATTCAAACTGGTTTATGCAGTTTGGAAATGTATCATCTCACAATGCAGGAAATCCAATGGTAGGGCAGACCCTGGCTCACCAATTCAGAACAATTAGGAACCTGAGACGCTTCCGTCTCACTGCTCTACTGTGCCCACCATTGACTTCATACCGAAGCTGGCTCCCCTCATATCACAGAATGACTGCTGGGGGCAACTGAGGCAGCATGCTCCCCTTTCCCATCCAGCAGGCAACAGTAAGACTGATTTCTCTTTCCCAGAAGTCCTAAGCAAGCTTCTCCTTAAATCTCACCCGTCTAATCTGACTAAGTCCTGTTCATCCCAAACAAATTGTTGCCAAGGGGGATGGAACTACCATGACTAGATTAGATTAAATGTTTGGAGAGGATTAAATGTTGGGGAGAAGGCCATGATGTCTACCGTGGAATTAGATGACTCGAAATGAATAAGAATGGGAAGAGAAAAAGAATAAGGATGGAACTTTCAGGAACACCAGCATTTATGCATTGGGCAGAGGAAGGACAGCATGTGAGGGAAGCTGAGGAAGAATCAGGAAAGAGGAAGTAGTGATGTAGTTTTTGGTTTTTGGGTTTTTTTTTTTTTTTAAAGATTTTATTTATTTATTTGAGACAGAGAGAATGAGAGACAGAGAGCATGAGAGGGAGGAGGGTCAGAGGGAGAAGCAGACTCCCTGCTGAGCAGGGAGCCTGATGCGGGACTCGATCCCGGGACTCCCGGACCATGACCTGAGCCGAAGGCAGTCGCCCAACCAACTGAGCCACCCAGGCGCCCCTGGGTTTTTTTTTTTTTTTTGGAATGTTGTTGTGTGTTGGTGGAGTCCAGAACCGGCAGCCAAGAAAGAATTCTTGAGATGTCTTTGGTGCAAAATGGTGGTTTTATTAAAGCACAGGGACAGGACCCGTGGGCAGAAAGAGCTGCTCCCTGCTGCTCCCAGCTGCCCTGGGATTGTGAGGTGCAGTGATTATATACGTTGGGGTTGGGGAAGTAAAGATAAGGGAAGTTCCAAAAGGACTTTCATATGCTAAAGAAGACTTGCAGGATCCTGGAGGAATGTTATAATCTGCCTATTTCAAGTATTTGTCAATGGGCTGCAGGTTATAAGGACATTTAATTTTATCTACATTTCCTTCTGCCTTTGTTTCCCACATCAGTTAAGAGAAGTGAGAGTGGAT